TGATGAGCAACAGTATTCTTAAAAATGTAAATGTTCCAAACCATTGCATCGTCATTTTAAGCGAAATTCATCGATGGCCCTCAAAAGACTTCACGCCAGTTTTCGAATCATTCTAAAGTAGAACGCATGATAATACGACACGGGCACCTCGATGCGATGTATCTTTTTTGTTTTATTACAAAATGCTTGGCCGTCAAAGAGCAATCGAACGAAATGGATACCAACCAAATCGACACAGACCAATCCAATACCCACGGGTCAAAAACAACCCTTCTTCGCGTTGCGGAGCACGCGGGTAACCCTAGTATACATAAAAGAAGTACAAAAAGGATATCAAGATAACCAAGCACAAATAGCTCAGGATAGGTTAAAGCTACTTTACATTTGAAAATAGCAGCATGCCTATTTTACACAAATAACATGGTTTAAAAACCATACAGTTTAAAATAAATAGAAAACGTGAAATTACGGTCACGTTGGTGATGTGATGATAATGTACAAAACGAATAAGATGGATATAGTTATTAATAGAAAAAACAATGAAATATTTCATTACAACAGCTAAATAACTGAACTTTACAATGCATGGGATAATGCCAATAAAATCGTTTCGGACTCCCAGAGCCACCCAGCACCCGGCTCAAACCACAACCTTTGTACACCTTCACCATGGGACCAAATATTCACCCCATAGCAACCCTTCACACGACCACAAAGCAGGCCCCAAATACTGGTCTAAACCGGTACTACCAAGCATTGCACACACACCCAGGACATCATAATAGGACTCAGACTGTTAGTATCAGACGCACTACGCACGCATAACTGTACGCACACACACGCACACACAAAAAAACACAACCATGCGTGTTAGTCGATGCAGAGTTCATGTTCAGTTTACACCGGGTTCTTTGGTGGATCCGTTGAAAAACTGCATTCGAATAGGGTCTGCAAAAATCACATCGTTATCTAGGCTGGAGCGGGCGGCGAAATAATGCCCTACATATGCCATGTCTAAGTTGACGAGCATACCATAACCAACTCTAAGCATATACTGAAATGGAAATCTTCGGAATGTATCTTCAGGACATTGCCAAAGGCCCAAACAGGATGGATTCTTGCTGCACTTGGAGCCTAAATTCCATCATAAAGGGCAAAATGCACAAAACTACCATCAAACTACTTGCACTGGCATTCACTAATGCCCAAAATATGACGCAATACAACATGAAGAGATCTAGCAGCAAGTGACATCCGATACAGGCGAAACTACTAGTATCTCCACACCATTCCTAAAAGTTCCACAGCAGGCGAGCATTGATGAAAACAAAAGAAGACCCAACAATCTGATTTTCGCTTTGTAAATGACGAAATGAAGAGAAAATGAAGAGGCCTTGTTTCTTTAATGGTGACCGAGGGGCGCTTTGCCGAGTCACACTTCTAAACTAGCGACACTGTCGAGCCGAGTGGGTTCATTGCAGATAATTAATTTACCAGAAATTTTGTTATCGAAACATTAAAAAATCAAAGCGTGACACTCATTTGGCCTTCCGATTTTTTATCTATCAACAGGGACGTCCGAAGCATTTCAAGCAAAATGATGAAGATTGTGTGGCATAATTTTGAAGAATAAGTGCCGGATGTATCTGGAAACTACAAACCTTTTCAGCACACATCTTCAGAATCTGATAGAGCCAGCACCTGATTTACCTTCTTGAAAAATACAAGTCCTAAGATTACGAGATCCTTCAATAAAATCCCACTATGATGCAACCCTAACGCCATTTCTAAGCGCTATTATTTACAACCATGCATAGTTCCAGGCTAACTTCATGCGTTGTGTATGTGTATGCGTGTGCGCAAGTACGGTCGCTGTTTAATGATGCATGTTGCCACTGATGCTACATTGACGTGGCACTGACGTGAAGCTGACGTCGCTCAGTGAATTCAGTGCAGTGTTCGGTATCCAGTGCCATCCTTCGTGACCACATTATTAACCTTTAGTTTCACTTAACTACAATGCCTCAACCTCTAAGCATACGGGCGACTAGGTAACTATGGCAACCACTCTACACTAGCTATGTCTAGGGTTTCTACAAACTATCACCAAAAACCCTTTCCGCACACCAAAAACACGCACAGGACGAAAACCATCCGCGCAGAAAACTTTCACCGAAGCGGACAGACCCCACCACCATCTTGCCCGACAGTCTGTTCTGCGGACTGCGCGGATCCTGCTAGCGCTAACCACTAACAGAACAAGCAAACTTCACGCCCGTGCTCGCGCGCTGGTCGTGACACGATCGCCACACTTGCCTGGATCTGTAAGTTTTCACAACGGAAGAGCGAGTGATTGCGGAGACACAGCGCAACGCAAGCCGAGGTATGAAAAAGGCAGAGGCGGCGTCAATGGGGAGAGGGGGAGAGAGGGAGAGAGAGAGGGGGGAACCTGCCGTACTATTGTGATGAAGTGATGTTTTTACTTCCAAACAGGTAATGCAAACAGCAATTGTTATAGAGAGCTATCGAGAATGTGTGCTATACTGACATTATTTGATTTTAATCGGCATATCTAAAACCAGTATAACGCCTTTTGGGGCGATTAACGGAGCGAGCGAGAGGGTGAGCCTTGCACGTGCGAAATTTCGAGGGGGTACCTCCAGCTGACTTTTGCACGGCACCCTACTAACCGGTCTCTAGCGATATGCCAAATTTGAGCACAATCGGTCCAGCCGTTCTCGAGATCTGGAAGCGGCACCCTGCACGTGCGCACGTGCATAATGGGTCCCAACTGACTTTTGCACGGCACCCTACTAACCGGTCCTTAGCCATGTACCAAATTTGAGCGTCATCGGTCCAGCCGTTCTCGAGATCTGGAATCGACCCCTCCACGTGCGCACGTGCAGCAGCACCCCAACTCTGGCACATGGATATGCATTGCCTAGTGAGTGCCTACCTACATGCCAACTTTCAGCGCAATCGGCCCAGTAGTTACCGAGATATTGCAACAATTACAAAAGTGACACCTCTTCGTTTTGCACGTGGCACGTGCATAATGGGTCACCCACATGCATCGGGAATAGTCCAGTACTTGGTAGAAGGAATGAAGCTACCCTACAAAAATTACCGCGTGTAAATCGGTCAAGTGGTTGCTGAGATATAAGCCTCGCAAAAGCGTCCGCACGGCCGGCCGGCCGCTCATACTCAGAAATTTCCGTTAATCTAAGGAAAGACTACGCTCGCTTCGCTCGCTCCGTAATCAAGAATTTTACCACAATATGGTACGGCAGGTTTGCTAAGTCATAAATTCGTCATGAGACTTTTTCGTCAAGTTGGGGGGGGGGGGGGGGTTCACAGGGGCCTGAAAAGCAGCAGAGTACAGGATATAGTGAAAGCGTTACAATACATCGGCGGCTTAAATGATGAATTGGATACTTTAAACAAAAGTGCAAGCAAAGCTGAATGTAGGTGCTTTCTAAAAGAGGCGATTATCATGAAAAGCACAGTGTTTTACAAGCTAAAATGATGAAGAAATGCTTTAAGCTATATACAGTTAGCAGTTGTGTCATTTTAATAGAGATAATAGCTTATTTCAACTTCACTTTTCAGAGCAAATGCCTAAAATAATAATCCTCAAAATCTAAAAATTAGCTCTTGTCAGTTTCAAACACGCACATAATTAATAGCAAGCCTAGTATTTGCAATGCAAGCGATTTTCTTATTCAGCACTTGTTTCGGGATAGTATGTGCAGACGCAATAGCTATTTTCATCTGAGCCTAGCGTTAGGAATGCAATAATCACAAAAGCATATCACTTGTCAACTAAGTCGCCTGGACTGACACACAGGGGCACATAGAGGTCACACAGGGGTCACAATGATTGGGCAAGTCTCAATCACAAGGCCACGTAGCCACACTGTCTGCATTGATCAATGTATACACAAGGGACAATAGTTATTAAAGGGACACTCCCACCTTAACATTAGTTTTGAGTTGAGATAGCCAAATTGGTGGCCATGGCCTGCAAATACCGGTTTGGGCACTCACAACATCGACAAATGCTTGAATTCGGAGATATGGAATTTCAAACTTGCAGTTTTCGGATTCTAAGGGGCTAGTGCATTGGTATGCCCCCTTAGAATTTGTGACGTCAGCGGAGATCTAACGATTTTTAAATCTTTTACTAAAACGTTTGGTAGCACGCGGTGGTATATGCTGCTTTGCGCGCAACAAATGCCGCACTTTCAAATAAAGTCGCTAGGAACAGCGGAGATCCCAAAAAGTAAACAAAAGTAAAAGTCTAATATCTTGAAAACCGGTGAATATTTTTCGATGAAATTTGGTAGATATTCGTTTTCGCCCTTTCTGAACCAAGCGACATCACTTTCGTGCCAATTCATTAACTTTTTTGAAGGTGGGAGGGTCCCTTTAACCAAAAAAACACACTAGGAACTCTAGTAAACATAAACAGCCAATAACCTGTCGGGGATTCTAGTCAACAGCCAATCACACCTCACTACACACACTTGTTAGCCAGTCAGACGCAGGGGATCCTTGTCAATAGCCATTGCCAATCACACTCCACCACACAGCTGTTAGCCAATCAGAAGCCAGCTATCACTCTCACAGCCAATTACAGGCCGTTTTGGATGAGTCTACCGACCAATCAAACACTTTGGCCTGTCCTGTCAGCCAATTAAATACCACTCCCTCCTCTGACTACCAATCACAGGTCAGGAGAAATTCTCTCTGACCAATCAAAAGCCACCAGCTATCCACTCAACCAATCACAATCACAGGGGGCGGAGTCTGTCCTGTGAGATAACTGCAGGTTGTTTGAAATAGACAAGCACTATTCATTAGAATTGTGTTTTTCTATTGAATAGCAACACACTGCAAAAGCACGGTCTCTAGACCGCCGATAACTTCACACAGCCGGGTGAGCTTTCACACGGGTGAGGGTCACTTCACTTCACACACACACTTCACACAACACTCACCCTGGTCAGCGGGCACCTCTGTCCCGGAGAGACTGGCTACAAGTCGCTCCGCGTATAATTTGTCTACACAAACACATAGGTATGGACAATGTTCACAAGTGCGACAGTGCTTATCCGACAAATAGCTCGTGCGGGGGTGAATCTCAAACGCAAGTGCGAATTTCGCCTTGTGCGAAATTGTGTGACTTAGAAAAGACATGGATTAGACCATAGACTGTTTTGGACGGTTTGACTATATGCTTAATGACGAGAAGCGATGGGTGAGACATACAGACGCTTGGTTTTATAGATTGACACTGGTGCATACATAGGGAAAACTAACCTAAACAAAACACAACAGATTAGCGTTAAGGCAGACCACAGACTCATGAGACAAAATCCATCGTTTGAAATGGAAAAGCAGCTGAACATATAGAACTGATAAAATACGAATTTCCAGCCGTTTTCCCAGTTAAACCTTTCTTTCTTTCACAACAAATAATACTTCAACCGTCCATCCAAACTAGTTCACTTTCTTTTAATGTCCGAGCAGCTTGATCCATCTGAGTCTAAATGCTGGACAGATTGAGAGTTGCATAAATGGGAGCATCAGCAATAAAATACCATACAAATCATCACAAAGTCTTTCACTATTTTCACAAATAAGCCTTTCAAACCCGATTATATCTTCTTCGCAGACTCAAATATCAAAGGGCAGCCGAAACCAGGCTAGGGTGAAACCAAAATCAACCATATCCAGACGATATGTGAAATGGAAAGATGATCATTTGCCCCGAGGCCTATGAAGCAGAGTAAGGATTTTACATTCATTATCCAAATAAAATCCAAATAAAAGCCCAAATAAAAATAGAGGAATGAGAGAAATGAGAAAACGAGCGAGAAAGAAAAACAGTGAAAGAAAGAGAAAGGATCATAAACAAAAGAAACAGAGACAGAAAGAGACATCGGGATAGAGAATGAGCGACAGAGACAGAGACAGAGAGAGGGACAGACATAGAGAGTGAGACAGAGATAGAGACAGAGACAGAGAGAGGGACGCACCGTCCTCGAAGGTCTCTTCGCCATCAGTCATCAGCTCGTCATCTGAACAGATGTTCAGCAGGTTGACCAGCATCTCCGTTACTGCAGGCACCAGAGGTCACTGGTCAGGTCATGAAAGGTCAGCCGGGGACCGTTTGGGTCATGGAGGATCACGAAAGGGTAGGTTAGGTTGAAGGGGTCGAGTTACGAGTAGTCAGGTTAATGATCGTATGATCATCAACCCGTTCATATTAACTGCTCGGGTACCTACTACCACCTTACGCTATTCGAGTAGATCTGTAGGTGAGTTGATATGAATTGGGATGCATTTCTTGAATGCGGTGCGGGATAATAAGCTACACTAAACCATCAGCACTGCTAACAGTTGTGCTTCATTTGAATGAAGAAGACGATACACTTTAAATGTGCCTTTTGGATCCCTAAATGAGGCGATTGAAGAACACATCATCAATATGTTACATTTGACAGATTGGGAAGCTAAATCCATTAGAGGGCGCACCAATCATACTGCTCTACCACGGACTTTTCCGCTAAAACAGGGACAAATTCCGAAATAAGACTTACCTTTTTCGCCGACGAACGGCAGTGACCACGTGAACACATCCATGAAGTTGGGCAGCCAGTACGGATGTGGCGAGCAGTTGAACTGGCGAATGTTCATCACATTGTTCTCGTACTTTAACACCGCCGCCTGGTGGCAGACAGACAAAGTGTTAGTTGATGTAGCTGTCAATAGATGGCGGGGTCATCACCGATGCCGTACGATCGCAACGCCATCGATTCTGCGATGCTAATTCGCTGGTGTTGGGGAGGGGCGGAGGAGGGGAGACGGCTAAGGGGAAGGGAGGGGAGGGAGGCTCCCCATAAGATCACGACCACTATGCGGGCGTGGTAAATGGCATAGACTTGCCGAGTGGCAAATGGCAGACCCGTCGACCGGCTGTGGCAAGCCTCTGACCGGCCGCACATTGTTAGCTGCAATGTGGCCAGTAGCTACGCGGCTAGAAAGCAGTCGTTACACCTCGTGAACGACAGGTGCGTGCACCTTTTACTTTCCACTTTTAACTTCCCGTAGCCGGTCCCGTATCAGTTGGTAGAGCGTTGGACTCCGCGTGGTGAGAGCACGCGTTCCCGGTTATGACAGTCCGGGTTCGAAGCGCGACGGGCGCTTGACATTTATGGGCCTCCTGACAGGTATGGTTGCGGTTGGTGGCAGGCCGTAGCCAGGCGAAGTCAGTGAGGGGACCGGCCGTGTGCGGGTATGTGCGCACGTTAAACTTTGGACTCTAAAATCTGCCATAGAACCGGAATTGCGCGATCGGAGGGTAGAGGGTAGGGTCACCGCAACAAGCTTCGCTTAGCGGTGGCTCTGTCCTTGTGAATCCTTCCTATCAAAAGGTTCGGACTAAATTTATAAAAAAAAACTTCAAGCATCACACATTGTGCTGTGCGTATCACATATTGAATTTTCAAACGCATCACATTGTGTACCATCATCATACAATTAATTTTCCTCCCCAAGCCTCCCAATCTAACATACGTACTCACTTCACATATGAAACATAATACAAATAAAAAACTACCGTGAAACACGTCCTATGAAAAACATCCAGGCCTCCTAAAACAATACACCTCAACTGTCGCCATTTTGATGTGTAGTGAGCAAGATCTTTCGGCCTAAAGACCAATGCAGAGCTATGGGATGATAGGATAGATAGGGTGTAAATATTGGGCTGCGCGGCAACCCCCGACGGAGCGGCGCCGCAGCTAAAACCGACGGGACAGCCCGCGCTGCCACTCAAACGATCACCCGGGAGAGGATGTAGTCCAAATGGGGACCTACCCTCACTACCGGCTGTCTGCTGGGGGTGACTGCCAGCCCGGGAAGCGTGAGATGGATGCGCAAAGGTTGCTCCATAGACCTCTCTAGTCTCTATACTGAGGCCTACGGTTGGTCCAAAGGAAGGCAAGGACGAGTGTTACTTACCTTGTTGTAGCCGTCCAGGTAGTTTGGTGCCGAGAAGTATTCTGTAGTGTATCTTAGCAGCCTGATTAGCGATGGTGTATCTTACCTTGTTGTTGTAGACGTCCAGTTAGTTTGGTGCCGAGAAGATGATAAGCATTGTGCAGTGTACCTATCTTAGCAGTCTGATTACTGCTGGTGTATCTTACCTTGTTGTTGTAGACGTCCAGGTAGTTTGGTGCCGAGAAGATGATAAGCATTGTGCAGTGTACCTATCTTAGCAGTCTGATTACTGCTGGTGTATCTTACCTTGTTGTTGTAGACGTCCAGGTAGTTTGGTGCCGAGAAGATGATAAGCATTGTGCAGTGTACCTATCTTAGCAGTCTGATTACTGCTGGTGTATCTTACCTTGTTGTTGAAACGTCCAGGTAGTTCGGTGCCGAGAAGATGGTGAATATTGTATTTTGTATCTTAGCAGTCTGATTAGTGCTGTAGTATCTTACCTTGTTGTTGTAGACGTCCAGGTAGTTTGGTGCCGAGAAGATGGTGATCAGAGACGGGAAGCCGGTCGTCTGGCTCTTCCGGTACATTCGGTACCTGAGGGGCAGACACAGAGGTCAAGGTTAGAGATATCAATTGCGGAAAATCGTGATACCGATACCAAACCAAATACCAACAATACCCATGGAAAAATACCGAAACCGAACCGACTTGGGAATATGAGGGAAATACCAACTTTTACCAAATTCTCAGCCTCATCTACATTAGAGGATTCATAAAAACAACAAAATACCAAATGCGTTCGCCTTGAAATACCAAATACCAAGTTGGTATCGGTTTGGTATAGGTATACCAAAAAGTTGGTATCCGATTGACATCTCTAGTCAAGGTCAGGTCACAGGAGTATTAAAATATACGGAGGGAGTGTCGTTTGGAGACGTACTACAACGCAAAGAACCCATCAAGATGTATTATCTCATTCATTATTGCGAGTGACTTTGATCTGCAATATTTTGTTCGCAATTAAGTAGCTAGAAAGTAGGAGTAGGGCAAATAAACTGTCAAGTAGTGTCGATCATCTGAATATTAGGTTCAAAACACACTCTTTAATCAAACTCTAAAAGACACACTCTAAAAAGTCATTCAAAAATACGCAAATGGGGTCACCAAACCGTCCGGAGTCCATACAAGGATAATCGTATCCTAAACACGAGGGTAACTGGACCCTCAGTGAGAGAGTAATCGGACCCTCCGATTAGAGTAACTTACCCAGCGTCCTGTGCTTCGTGCGCCCGGATGATGGACAACAAGTTGTTCTGCTGGAGGAAGTCGCAGCACGCGGCGTAGCTGAAGAGAAAGGGGGAGACTCACAGTTAGAGTGTAACAGGACACATGCTGCCAGGAAATGCTGCCAGGGACTAGAAGTTAACGAAAATCTAAAAAAAAAAAAAACGATAGCTGCGTCGAGGGAAGTTGACATTCGCAGAATGATAGGATATGGAAAATGTTCGCTTGCTTTTCGATCATTCATATATCGTTGATCGCTTACCCAAATACCAGGGCATTGTTCAATCGTTTTCAAATAATTCTTGTTTCCGTAGGAGTAGGAACAGCCGCTTACACTAACCCCCCGCAGTAGAGTTCAGTAGAACGCCTACCTGTAGAAGCAAGAGCAACAACTCGCGGCGGTAGAATTTAGAAGATCACCTTCCTGCAGAAAGTAGGAGCAGCCGCGCACGCTGACACACAGCAGTAGCCAGAAGAAGCCAGTATAATTCCGTAGAACACCTACCTAAAGAAGTAGGAGCAGCCGCGCACACTGTTACACGGCGGTAGAAATCAGTATAATTTAGTAGAACACCTACCTGTAGAAGTAGGAGCAGCCGCGCACACTGTTGTGTGTGAAGTGCTCGGCGTTACGCTCGTTGCCGAAATCTTCCAGCGGGTCCGACCAGAGCAGGTCACACATGGGACCGAACGCCGGGGGCTCCTTGAACCGGTCCAACTGCGGGTCAGAGGTCACAGGTCAGGTCAGAGCAGAGCAGGTCAGGTCACAGGTCAGGTCAGGTCAGAGCAGGTCACACATGGGACCGAAAGCCCCTTGAACCGGTCCAGCTGAGCTGGAGGTCAGAAGTCACGGGCCAGGTCATGTTTGGTTCGGTCATGTTAGGGTAGGTCATACAAGGGTAGGTCATATAACGTCAGGTTGTATCATGACAAGAAGGTGAAAGAGTCGGGATATTGTTACACGTTACCACTCCAAAATAATCATCTCAACAACAAAATCTTGCAAGTCGAGACCCCACCGTTCGTAACAAGCAGGACACTTCTAACTGTCCTTTATCAAGCAAATCCGACGCAGAGCCTCTATGAACAAATCACTCATTTACACCTTATGGCACGCAACAGTGCTGCTCGGTAGCGGAATTATTTTATCACAGTAATAACCCCAAGCTGTTGTTAGCGGATTATGAGTTGTCACTGTTGTCTACAAGAATAAAGGGTTGTGACGAATGACAAGACCCATAATTCTGCGATGTACGCGAAAAGAATCACAAGAGCGTTGATATCACCATATTACAAATGGTGTTGAAATGAGTAAAAAATATCCTAGCTTAATAAATGATGACGTGCACGCCATAACAACATGCAAGTCGCTGTTAATTTACGGTCACGGCTAAAAAGCTAACACATCTTTCACGATAAGAAAAAAAAACTATATAGTTCAATCTAGCGCCAAAATGTTCAGTAAACGCGTTTTCATAACATAATAAGTACGGAACGTGGATAACTTAACACCCCACCCAAAAACGAGCCTTCGCTGGAATCATAGCTACAGTCCCTCCCCCTCCCCCCCCCCCTCCGTTGGCCCGCCATGTCACTTCCGGGCTCCCGCCGAGGAGCCAGCTGTATCGATTCTCTATGAGCGGCGCGGGGGCGGTCAGGGGGGGGGGGCTATGGCTGAGGGAGGAGGGGGAGGACGGAAAGGGGAGGGGAGGGGCAGATGGTAGCGAGGAAGCAGAAGAAAGGGAACCAGAAGAAGAGAAAAGAAAACATGAAGGAAGGAACCTGAGGAAAGATTGATGGGTGGGAAAGGGAGACAGAGACGGAAGAAAGACATCAGAGGGAGAAGAATAAAGGGACAGACAGACAACAAACCGATAGAAAGCAGACCCTAATAGACTGAGAGAGTGAGACGTCAGAAAACTAGCCAGATATCGAGACAAAAGAGGAACAGGCAAGGAACAGACAGACAGACCGACAGACAGGCAGACAGACATACAGACAGACAAAGCGACCAAGACGCGAAGCCGGATGTGCCGGACCCCGAGCACCCGTTTCCGGAACTAACTGAGCGGCGCCTCCGGGCCTCTACCCTCTCCCACGCTCTACCCCAGGCAGTTCGCTCGGACACCCACGGGGCCTAAGTTGAAGAGTCGGCGATTCAGAATGAGCAGCTGCATCCGGGAATGGTCTCCGCGGCTAACTCGGAGCGGAGTTATGAAGTCGAAAGAGGAGTTACCAACTGGAGAGAAGAGTTACCAGCTTGCGAGAAGAGTTGAGTTGCAGGCTCGAAAAATGGTTACCAACTTGGAGAAAGGTTACCAGCCGGGGAAAGGGTTATCAGCTGGAGAGGATAGTTACCAATTCGAGAAGAGAGTTGACGTCAAATCTATAGAAGAGTGAGCAGCTCCAGAGGAGAGTTACCAACTCGGGAGCAGTTCTCAACTCGGCGGATAGATACCAAGAAGACTGGCGATACGCTGATGTCAAGATACCAACTCGAGAGACGATTAATCGACTAAGAAAAGTTCCCAAGGAGAGTTCCCAACTCAGCTGATTCCGAATCAGCCTCTGGCAAAATCAATGCAGTGAGTCAATTCGCTCAGACACGTGGTATGCGGCTTGGAATCCTTGTGTGATTGTCGGCTCGCTGCCATTTCCATTTGATGTAAATCGGTAGGCTAACACTGGGAAGCCGTTATTGAAGCATGGTTCCCGAAATGGTATCTGCCGAGTAGCAATGTCGGTTCCACAAAATATCTCACCAGCTATCACTGAATCCTATAACAGGAATCGAAAAGCTGCACCATCAAAAATAGAAGAAAAAAACGTTGGGAGACACGGTTACCAGTTTCTAAACAAAAATCTGATCACAATACCGCCAATTTAGCTTCAGTGGTTCTCTTTAATCGACATCAATCAAAAAGCGTGTCATGTCCCGGAACGTTACAATTTCCAAACAAATTCACCCCAAGACAGTTGATATTAGCACAATTCACGAGAGTCCAAGCCAAGCTTAAAGCCACAACTGATAATCCGTACCAGTTTTCAAGCAAGGCATCGCCAGTGTAAGGTCTCAACCAATGGCCATTACTGCTGCAAAGATAAATCATGTTGCATTGCAAA